AAAAGAAGATACAAGTATTTTTACTTTTGCTCTTTCATCCCTCATAATTAGTATTCATTTTTAAGCAGGAAACAGTACTCCTAAAGCTACTTTCTCCTTCTTTAGTTTAGAGGCTAAAGTCATCAACACATAGTCAATGTCTGTGTTTCAGCACACCCCATTCCTCCCTTCAACAGAAGGTCTAAGATCTATGTACTTTCTTTGCATGCCAATTAAACAGCACCTGTATTTAATATGCAGTCGCAGAAAGATTAAAACAACAACATTGTTTTAATATAGTTGGAGAAAAACAGTGTATCTTCAAGGTATGAACTTTGAAATTATGTAACTTTAAACATTCTCTATGTCCAAAAATCGCTTTAACTGTGGTTGCATGCACTGCCTATGCTCAAAATACATACCTGCACTGCAGTGCTTAATAAGTGCCTCTTCATTTCCTGGCATACAAGCAAAACTTTTGCATTCTAAGACTATGTTGGTATCTTTAAAAATAAATGCTAGAGAATCTCAGTCCACTAATATTTCACCTGTAAGCATAATAATGAAACCTCCTACTAAATCCTGAAGGTTTTGTCCTCTAGGTGTCTATAGACATCTAGACTTTTGCTTATTGTACATGCCCAAAACTGCAGAAGCCACTCCATGTTTACATCTACCCATATTTCAAACAGGAACCTAAACCAAAGCATTCTCTCCCTTGTTCAACACACTTCTGTATCGGACACAATCCTGGACACAAAACAACTGCAGAATCCTGGACATAAACAAAGTTTAACTCCATTTAAATCCACAAAGGAAGAAGAAACAACATTCCTCTTTTGGAAGACCAGCTGTTCTTTCTAGCACTCAAAAAGGACACACAAGCTCTTATGAACTGTTTTTGTTCAAGATCACGGCCTATCTACCAGTTATAATTTCTTTTGGGCAAAAGCAGTCTCACTTCCCTGCAGAAATTTCTCCCCAGTTCAGGAAGAGCTGAACACCACCAGTCCAACAGATTAAGATCAAGGAGAACATAACAATATTCTCATTGTTACGACAGTCAGTGTTGGAGAGGAAACACCCATTATTTTCATAATTTTTCCAGGGAGTATTTACTACAAAATACACAACCAAAACTTTC